TCAAGGAAAGATTAGGATCCACGCTTCACCATTTATAATCTTATTTCAGTATCTTCCCTTACTCATCCCTTTCCTTTGTTTATAATTCTTGTAACTACTTTTATATCTGAAATATAATCATAATTACTTGCATTATAAGACCCACCTTGCCCAATTAGTGAGCCTTGAGTACTCAAAAGAGTAACTCACCCTCACAGTGGCGGTAAAGATCCCGGGTCCAAAATGGCAGCGCATGGCGTAACTACCCGGGCCCTGGGGGTCCCGGGGAAGGAGACAACAGCGCCGGGCGCAGCGCCTTGTAGCGCTCCGCGCTGCTGTCTGCGCTGTGAGCCAGACTTGGTTATGTACCCACTTTCCCTGCAATTTTTCTGCAGATTCCTAAATTTGTATGGGTTTTGATGGAGTATGGCTTACAGCACAGATGGGTTATGTCAGAGAAGACTGTAATGGGATTTGATCAATCATTATGGCATGCATGCAAGAACAAATCAAACATCCCAACACCCAATCCACAAGGGCCAAAAGCCGACTCAGATGATCCCTGATCTCTCAACCAATTTTGGGCCATGGATTACCTTAGCTAAGGAATCATTGCATCAAGTGCCATTGAGCAACATGGTCATCAAATTTACATTCAAAAATTGAGTGGGAAGCATTGCCTAGTAATCTGAACACTCCACAGATCATTGCAAACCAAAACAGGCTGAATAGTGGGGATGAAAAGTCCAATAAGAGAATGCATATGTAGCATATTGAATTATTTGTTGAGGATGATTGCTGGTTTAATCATAAACAAAAATCTCAAAACTCAATGTATTCTCCAGTCAACTTGATGACATTGATCATCACCTTCAATTTCTATATATAAGATGAATATGAAGCGATGGGAATCAAAAGGAAAAGTTGGTTTAGTGTGGTAAACAGCCTATGATGTCATGACTGTACATATCGTAAAAGAATGAAAAGTCCGACCCCTCAGTAAACATGACACATATTATTACAGACCAACTTATTCCCATTCCCATCTGTTAATAACCCGTTACCAACAACTAATTATTTTTCACCTTGGAGAAATACATTATCTTTGCAGTGTTATTGATTAATTTCTTATTTGAAGAGAAGTCGTTTGAGGATGATACTAGTTGAGTGGATGAACGGAGTAGCTTTATACATGTGAAAGCTTTTGAGACAGATAAGGAATACAATCATGTTTTGAACCAATTGAGTCTTCTGATTGATGATAACCAAGTTAAGTATTGAAATGTCAATCTTGTTGCTAATGATAGAATGAAGATTGATGATGATAAGCTGGTATTTGAGGTGATAAAGATTTATCATTGAAGTGATTAGATTGAAGTTCATTTGAATTTAAATTGGGTTTTCTGAGCTTAGCATTGCTAAGCTCAACATAAGGGGTGATAACGCATATGTCAAATGTTAATCAATACAAGTGAAATGTGAAAAATTAAAGCTACTAGGGAACATGAAGGCATGCCCGCCACAGTCTCACTGTCCCCAATGAGTTCAACTTAATAACACAAATTACTTAAAAATGTTCATTTGATAGAGTAAGTAGTATGTACACAATTCTGCTTCAATCAAAGAAAACATTCAAATTTTACATTATAAACACAACACAAAGTCTACCAAATCAAAAATACCAACCTCTTGAACCTCTGCTTTATAATTTGTCACAGACCTCAATCCTGCTTCTTATTAAAAAAACCTCTTCTTCAGACTCTAAATCTTTCATTAAAATCTCTAATACTAATCAACTTCCTTTGCCCATAAACTTTCCATTTTCTTTCCTCTTTCCCACTAACGATGACTTCACATTCCCACCGTCCCAAATCTAAAATCCCTTCACAAATCATCCAAACCCCACTTTCAATAAGCATACAATCTAATGACTTGATTTTCCCATTATAAGTTAAAGATCCAATCCATTCAGTTTTAATTCCTTCTACTTCTTTATCATTTCGATTCAACTTTAATTTATATTCTATCTGTTCTTTTGAAATTCCTAAATTCTTCAATTCAAATATCACTTTTAACCTTTTAGGTCTTTTATCGTAAACATCCAAATGAGCCCCCCACAAAAAGAACAAATCTTGTATCAGAACTGATCAAGAAACCCCACTTGAGAAAAACAAGATAAACCTTACCCAAGTGTTTCGAAATCCCAATCAAAATAATCGCCCTCATCAACCCTACAAATGATACTAAAACACTCTTCATCCTTGCTTCTCCCATTTCCAATCCTAACCTTTTCACCAACACCGACACCACCACAAAACTCACTTCTTCTCCATTCATCGATCAAATTTCTCTGTAAAGCTTGAGCCTCAGCATAAATTCCACCCGCAAAACTTTCAAACCCATCTAAAACTTCTTCAATCTCATTTCTCATCCTCAAACTGCCAATTCTCAAATCGCTCAGAAAATGATGTCCTTCTTTCCCATCTTTGTGTTTCCAAAATAAAATCAAGTTTAATGTATTTGGTAAAGATAATGGAAAGATTTTAGGAACTGATTGAATTGGAATTGTCTTGAAATGTGAAACTATTGAGTGTTTTCTTAGTGATTTATGTGAGTTTAAAATAGTTTTTTGTAAGATTGGGTGATCGATTCGTACCATTTCCTAAATAACAAAATATACAAGTCAGATAGACAGAAAGTGACCATCTTTCGGCAATTGAAACTTACAAGACCAGAACTAGAAACGCAAGCCTTAATATCCTCAGGAATCCTATCACTCAACCTTAAGTTTTCTTTTCCCAACAATTTCTTCAATCCATTTAAAATAAACGGTAAAGTAAGATCATCTTCGAGACTTGACGATAACCAAGGTTTAAATTCAAATGCAATCATATTCCGATTTCCATTTGAAATTTTAATTGGAAATTGATTTGCTTGAATCATTTGACTATTCCAATATGTACCTATGGTGGTTATATTATAAATTTCTACTTCTTCTGGTACACCTTCATTTTCAATCTATTCAATGAATCACATGAACCAAAGAAAAAACGATCAGTTATCTTTGTATGTCAAACAGTAAGTAAACAAAATGTGCAAGATGGAAGCAGTTCAAAAGATTTACCTCGAGTGTTAAAACATAAAACCCTTCTTTGATCATACTAGGTCTAATGATGGGTTTCAAATTCAAAGAAGGTAAAACATTCAAACGTTGAACATATCGAAACCCAATAAACTCTTCTGATCCCTTTTAAAGACCTCAATCAAATTCAAAAACATAAGTCATCTTTCTCTCGTCCAAACTTGAAAAAAACCCAGACTGACAACGATCTTAAAGACAAATAACCATAAGGTCTTATGATGTCCTACCATTTCTCCTCGACAGATCAATGGTACTTTAATCGATTCTGATGGTTTCAATTGATCACATATTGGCATTGGTGGATCCTCACTTATTGAGTTCGGTAACCGAATTGCGTTATATAAATTTAAATCATCCTTTGGAGATGTCGAATATACAAAATTTTCTATCAACAGACCAAGGACTGGCTGGATCAGCAGATGAAAGCACATCAGAGAAAGAGATGGTTTCAGACGTAAGCTAACTGACCTTGTTCAGTAGTTGGATCACCAATCCTGAAAAAAGTATCATGACTAATTAAACAAGCAAGCCGAAGTACGTTTCCTAATCCAACATTCTTGATTTCAAATTCACTAACAATAGTCTCACCAGCCAAAAGCTCAATAGGTATTAAATCATCACTTAAAACTTTGATCCTACCGAAGTCTTCTTTAATTTCAAGTTTCATAGATTTATCTGGCTCATAAAGTTCATTCATCCTTTGGATTAATGTTTCATTCAATCTTTTCCCTTTCTTTGCTAAAGGTTGTGTAAGATTCATTATATTATGAAATCGATATTTTATTGAGTCGATTTGAATTCCTATTGAAGATTGTGTACAGGTGATTTTGATTGGGACCTGTGATGAAAATGTATAGTCAATCTGATGATCATGTAACGCAATCATCAATCGCTTGATTTGCTTACTATTCGATTCTCATTTGCTAGAAGCTTAAGATCCGGGATCGGATCTATCACGACTCCTTCAGGTAGCTCGTCTTTTTCATCTGTTGTGGTAAGTTCTTCATCTAACAAGCTATTCACTCGAATCTTGATATCTGCAATCTCTACCACCGTGTTCAAAGGGTTCTTCACAGCCAAATCAAGATAGAATGGAACTTTTGGAACAAACCGACCCCACCCATCGAAAAGAACATGATGTGTTAAAAGAATGGACCAAGTTAGCAAACCGGTTCTACAAGAAAAGCTTACCTCCAACAATTGCAACCTGTTTCGTATTCTCTTTCTTCAACTTCCAATCAACCGGTAACCTATCCCGCAAAGAAATCCAATCTTCTTCGAATTCATCATTATCTTGTTCTTCTCGTTCTGGTATTCTTATTCGAGTTAACTTTATATCAATCATTCCTTTTATAAATTGATCAGAATTTGCAAATGTGTTTCTTTCTTCTTGATTTAAATGCTAATAAAAAGAAGAACTCCATAAAGTAATAATCAAAAAAATCATAAACCCAAATGAATCAAGAGATCAACATAAGAATCAAGAAAAACCTTCGGCACAATTTGTTTTTGAAGATACTTTTTTGACTCACCTCAAAAGCGTTTTGCAGATTATCCAAATACCCCTGATCATTCACTCCATCTCCATCTCCATCTTGATCTCTCATTCGGGAATCAATCATTCTACGTTTAATCAATTTCCAAAAGTGATTTACTGCCAAATCCCATCTAGCTTCATTACTGACTTGTCTACCCAATACTTCATCCACATAATTAGCAATTCCATTCCAACCTCCTCCTTCAATACAATACCTTAAGATGTGGGTAGAAAGTGAACGCTGTCCTGATACTTCATAACATCTACTTGATAATACAAAGTATAACATGCTTTGACGTGGTGGGAGTGATTTAGCCGTTTGTTCGTATAAGACTGCTGCGGTTATGTCATCCAGCTTTTACAATGAAAAGGAGTGGATCAGGTATTCAGACATCATTACTGGAGGGTTTGTCTAGCACATACCAAAGTTGCCATTTGAAGGAGTGAAGAAGCCATACATTTCGATTCCCCGATAGATTTACATGCTTCATGGTAAATCAAGGTGATACGAAGTGAATCAAAAACACTCATTTGACTTAAAGCAGCTGGATCGAAAAGATATGAATATGGATCGAAGTTTTGAAAGGTTTGATTACTGGGAACGACTAAAAGTAATGAACAAAGTCCGACCATATGCTATATGAGAAGTCAAACTTATTGAGCAAAAATTTCCATTTTTTCGAAGAAAAGCACAGAGAAGAGATCAAAGAGTTTGAGGAAAGGAAAAGATCACTGACGGTGGAAGAGAGATAGTAAGACCAAGCTTTATGGCCTAATGCATCCTTTCTCACATACTCATACATCTGTGATGCCAATTTATAATCACCTAACATGAATGCGTAATCGGCTAACCGACGAGTTTGAAATTCAGTACTCTGGTAAGGATACCTAGGAGAAATCAACTTTGTGAGATAAATAATGAGATCGCAGAGGAGAGAGAGAACATACCAACGCATGGTAGGATTATATGATGAGGATGATCCCGATGAGTCTGGCTTTGAGAAATACTTTCGCCCAACACTGAATAGTCGACCTGTGATACCTTTTCTTGAAGCTGATAGCTGAATTTTCAGGGGAAATAGATTTGAAGAAATGTTAGCTACAGAAATGAGCGAAAACAAGTAAAGGGGAAATTGAACACACCGATTCATTCCAATGTTGAACACATCTTTCCATATGAGGAACCAAGCTTTGAATTGTGAATTCTCTCAAAAAGACTTTAAGACCCAAGATATCTTCCTGAGCCATACATTCTCCAAACCTTTGATTAGGATCTACCTCGTTCCCTTCTTCATCAACTTCAGATTGATACTGAGCCCATGAATCTTCGATTCTTCCTTCTGTATCATCATGAGAATGATCATATTTAAAATGAGGATCAGTATTTAAAGCTCTTTGACGTTTAATGTACTCAGTTTTTTCTGAATTCATACAAACAATCCCACAATGTAAACCATAAGCTCTGGAAACCGATTGAAGTAATTGATTAGCTTCTTGACGACCACCATCAAATTCTTCCGTAGTTTCATGTAATAAAACATAATATCTCAAAATCGGTTCTGTATCTAACCATGGTACATTTGGCCATCCAAGTCCTGACGTATTACTTTCTTCATAAAGTTTGGCAAACTCGTTGAGAGGTTCTGGGTCATTGGTTGATACTACTATCAAGGCTGCTATAGGATGACTACTGGTATCGAAGACTGTTGGGAGTCTCCGATCTAGGACAGATTTGAGAAATGCGTTGTACCATGGTGCTGATTCGGTGATCGGTTCAGGAAGATCCTGGAGAATTGATTCGTTTATCCATTCGTTTTCTTCTTTGAGCTTGAATGGACCGGTAGTAGGAGGTATAGGTATAGGATGAGATGATTCTGAGAGCCATTTTGACAAGTTTTTAGCAGTCAAGATCTTATTGATTGATCGATCCAACCAAATCGAATCATCCTCTCTACCGATCTCATTGACTTCATCACGTAATCTCTCAGCTGGAATGAATGACAGAGGAAACGAAGGTCTGATGATCGATGCATAATTAGAATGTCGTACGGATACTGATGATATACATATCACATCAGTTCGTCTTGTTTTCTCTAGAGTAAGGAAGATATGAAGACTAATACCTTTTGGAATCGATTGAAACGGTTGAAGTAAAGAAGCAAAGTTAGATAATCGATTTCTTTTGCATGCTTGATTGACTTCTTCACTTGAAAAGATTACGATTCTAGGTGAGAATGAATTGGGAATTAAATCGACTCTTGAATCGTTTACTATGTTGACCATGATAATGGTCCTCGACGATGTTGTTGAGTTGAATTGGTAAAGAGTGTGATCGATGAAAATTCAGTTTACCTCAGGCACTGTAAATTGTATTCATCAAACCACTTCTCATTCGTCTCTCATCCTCCATAAAGATTGATATCTACAAATCAACAAGAACGAACACCATGTACTATACCAAACCATCTTTGTGAACTTTGAACCGAGTCTACTAAAGGAAAGGATGGATGAGATTGAAAATTGTACATATGTAGCTCAGCCAACGAGGACATGTAACCGGATTATCAACATTTTCTCGATTCCTGCCTTCACGAATCTCATTCGGTCAAAGAGAGAGACGGATCTCAAAGACGCAAGGAAAAGTATAAAACAATTCATAACGAGTGTTATCATTGCGCGTACATCCAAGAAAAAGATCCAGACAAACCAAGATACATAAACTCATCACTTGAACATACCCACAAAAGAGAAATGAAATTGAAAAAGAGGAGAAAGAAAACTCTATACAAACTATGCACAAAAACCATTCGTCAGGGTGGATGAATGAAACACGTTGTTAAATCACGGAGGAGATGAAGTAGCACAGCTACTGATTATTTTCTATAGAACAAAAGTCAAGAAAGAAAACCCAATAAAGTATGCAAAGATGGTTCTTTATTTTTTCAAAGCTGCTCCGCTGTTAACAGCTTGAGCCACCGAGAAACTGAATAAAAGATAGAAAATTAAGTCAAAAAGATCCAACTATAAAGATATTGAAAAGTAAATGACTAACCGGCGTAAATCGGCTTCTTGAACTTGTACATGACCAAAGACGGAGCGTCGTTGATTAGTAGAAGCTTCAGCACGTTGAATGAAGCTAGTACGGTTACTATAGTAAGAAGCACTTCTTGTTGGTTGGGCAGGTGCAATTGGTTCAACTTTCTTGTTCTTCTCTACGCTTGATCTACGTTTCTTGATCATAGCTCGGGTAGCAAATTTGATGAGATCTTAAAGAAGAAGAAAAAAATCAGTATTCCGGTTGCTTGTTTTGGTAGAAAAAAAGAGTTTCACTTACCCATAGGAAGGAACCAGATTAAATTCCAAACCCAACAAACCCCTACCCAAGCAAGTGGAATACCTTGAACGCTTGAAAATTCAAGATTACCAAAGCAAGCTAATAAAGAGGCGACGGTTTGCGCGATGAAGAATGCACCCATAAGTGCAAATGAAGGTCGCTCCATAAAGAACCAACCTTGAGAACGAGTAATGAAGATGAGAGCTTGCGAGATGATGGCCACTTGTAGATAGATTACCATGTGTAATTCTGGTAATAGTCAAGACAATTTAGTGAATAAAGAAGATGAATATTTTCAAAGGAGGATTACTCACGAGGGTCGCTAGCGTCCTTGAGGGCAATGATTCCAAATGTATCTTCGAAGAATGTAGTATTGACGATAGCCACGTAGAAAAGAATGGTTGATAAAGCAAGATGTAGACCATAGGCAACAGCGTATGTGAAGATCTCAGTTAAGTCCCAATGATCAGGTTCGCTGCTTGGTAATACTCGATCCAGTGAGATGGTCATCACGGTTCCATCGTTCAAGATTGCAATGACTAAAACCATGAAAGGTGGGAAGTCGAATTGAAATGCAAAAGCCTGTTATGTAATGGCGTCAGCTTGCTTCATGAGTTACCCAAAGAACAGTTGAATCGCAAAATACCATTATAGTAAAACCAACAACAATACGGATTGTCACAGCACAAGCGTAGATCGAGTAGTTTCTCATTCTTTGGAAAACGATACGTGATTGACGAATAGCGTGGATTATAGTTGAAAGACCAGGTTCAGTAAGAACGATATCACCAGCTCCTCTAGCAGCATCAGTTGCGCCTTCGACTGCGATACCGACATTAGCACGTGCAAGCTATTACAAATGACGAGAGATTTATTAGTTTAGGTGGTGAAAGAAAAAATAAAAGTGGGTTTGATGCTTACGGCAGGTGCGTCATTTGCGCCATCTCCAGCTATTATAGATAAAAGAAATTGATGAGAACTTCAATCTTCCTAGGCAAAAGAAGAAATGGGTCTTACTCATAGCAACTAAATGTCCGAGAGCCTGCAATTTCTTGACGATATCATACTTGTGTTCAGGGTAAACTCCAGCAAAACCATCGGCCTCTAAACAAAGTTAAATTTTGAAAAAGGAAATCAATAACGGTAACCAAAATCATAGAAGCCTCAGAAAGAACCTACTCAAGATCATGTCGGCGAGATTGCTGTAACCACTCCCAGCAGGAGGACCCTCTTTAAGCACTTTAGAAGGAAACATAGTATCACCCAAACCTAATCGACGTCCAGTTTCTTTCGCAATAGCAAGTTGATCACCGGTCACCATCTTAACTTGAATACCCAATGACACTGCATCATCGATGGTCTGTTTGGTATCATCTCGAGGAGGGTCAAAGATTGATAACAAGCCAATAAGCATAAAACCGTTTCCAGGGCCATCAACTTGACCACTTGGTACATCTTCATATGCAACTGCAAGTGCACGTAGACCTCTTCGAGCAAACTCTTCCACATCAGCTTCCAGTTGGTGTTCGACTTCTGTGGTTTTGTTGTAAGTACATAATTCGATGATTTTCCCAGTCATACCTTTGGTGACTCGGCGCATTTCACCCGTAGCAATATCAATGTAAGTAACTTCGGTACGTTTGACAACTGGATCGAATGGCTTGAAGTCCAACAATTTGATTCCTCGTCGAGCATTCTCTGCACCGACAGTTCCGACCACACAAGTATCGATAGCATCTTGATTCTCAGTACGAGAGGCGTATGAAGCAAGTAGACAGACATCATCGGCACTGACATCCGAGTAAGTTTTGACAGTACTTTTGTCGATAGTAAGCTTGTTGGTAGTAAGAGTACCGGTCTTATCGGAACATAAGATAGTAACACCAGCTAATTCTTCAATCGCAGTGATTCGAGTGACAATCGCCTTGTATTTAGCAAGTTGTTGAGCTCCGACAGCAAGTGTAACAGATAAAACGGTAGGCATCGCAATAGGAATTCCACCAATGAGTAAGACCAAGATGTTGTCCAAGCCACGTCGGTACGAGAAACGGAATACTCCATATAATACGATAATTTCTGTTCAAGTACAAAGAAGAATGAATAGATAAGTCAATCATATTGAACAGTCCAGTGACTCAAGAGAGAATACCGACCAAGTGCAATACAAATCCCAATGGACACCAAACAAAAGTTACCAATCTAAAAACGAGAGAAAAAAATGTCACTATGAGATCCAAAGTAGAAAATGCTTTGAAAAGAAAATCCTCACCTTTGACAGAATGACTTGCATATGACCAGTAGAATCATTATCTGCACCACACAAAGTAGCTGCTCTACCAAAGAAAGTATTTGCTCCAGTTGCAATTACGATTCCTTCTGCTTCACCTTGTTTACAAATTGATCCAGAAAAGCATTGGTCGCCACATTTTTTAGTTGAAGGTAATGATTCTCCTGTTAGGGCTGCTTGATCAATTGAAACGTTGACGGCATCGAATAAGCGACAATCTGATGGAACAACATCGCCGATCTAAACCAAAAGAAAATCAGTCAGTCTGCCTAATCAAATTATGAAGTTTCTGAGTTATGAATAGGTTACCTTGAATGCTACTATATCACCAGGAACAAGATCAGCCGAGTCCATTTCTGACCATTGCCCATTTCTTTTGGTTTTAGCTTTTGGTGCGAGAGAGTCCATCAATGCTTTTACAGCATTCCCGGCTGAGCGTTCTTCGTAATAACCAATACCGGAATTCTGAAGATGATATCCATGATCAGGTTCGGAAAGAATGCCCGAGGGTATCAAGGAATTCTACACTTACAATCAAAAGCAATGAAACGATACCAACGAAATCCTAAGAACGCGCAGCTTGTTAGCTTTGCATTATGGACTACAGAAGATGAATGAACTAACCTGCCAGTCTGGTGGACGATTTTCTCCATTAGAAAGAGCGATAGACACAATGGCAGCTCCCTCCATGACCCATGATAGAGGACTAGTGGTGAATTCAGGCTATCGTCAGCTTGTGCTTGAAAATAACGGCGGACATGAGAGAGAATGAAGATAAAAGCTCACTTCCACATGAAACTCAGAAACTGCAGGAAAGGGTTTACTGATTTTTCCTCAAGTTTATTAGGACCAAAGATCGTGCGCCGTCTCTCAACTTCGGCGGGTGTGAGGCCATTTTCGTTTGTCCTTTTATTCGAAGCTGAATTAGTATCGATGACCTGCGAAAAATATAAAAGTGGAAGGTAACAAACTGTAGTAAAGTCCAAACATCCTCTAGTTGTACCTGCTCTAAGTCGACCTTTTCGCGATCGTAAAGATCTTCAGCACAAAGTTGGATTGTCTTCATATCCACCAGACATCTAGTTGCGCTATTTTCTTCTTCAAAAGTCTTGTCGAAATTTCTAGCGGCCTTGGTCTCATGATCTTGAGCTGACATTTTTTGATTCGAGTGTCGTTGGTGATTGAAGTTAAGTGATGATAATAAAAAAACGTAATCAAGCTATGGAAGAGAGAATATTCTTAATATATATATATATATATAATTCAAGCTATGGACGAGAAAGACTTCTTACGGATATACTCAGACTAGCTGGCAAATATAACACAGAAGGAAAGCCAGAAAGAGTTTTGCTAAGTTATGTACCGGGTTGATGGCCCAAATAATAAACAGAAAGATGAAGGGAAGTGGATGAGGAGGAGGGAATCTGCTGCAGATGTGCTCCAGTTATATACATCATGAGCCGTCTTACTCGCCTCACAATCGTCCATGAGATGATTCTATCACCTCAGTTACATTCAACTGGTTAACATCGTACATCTATGCATTAATTCATTCACCACATGGATGTTCTCCCAGTCTATCTGATCCTTGAGATGAGAACCTTTCTCACGACGTCTCATCACTCACACTGCCAGAGGTGCTTAGCGTGTAGATCAACTAGGAGGATTGAGTGGCATATACCAAATTCTGTATGACCATGTGTGGTCATGATCAACCGAAGGTGAGCGAACGGGATCGTATGTACGTGCAAGCTGTGATCTATCGTTCCCGGTTCATCCCTAATTCTTGGCTTCACTCTCAAGGGTGTCGAGTTGAGGTTAGATGGCTTGAAATAGACAATAGATCAACTATGTATTGGGGTGAAGGTGCGTCGTAGTGACTCTGAGTCTTGGCGCTGGAAGTAAACCTGGGTTGACTTGAAACCTCCTGCCCTTCGGTAAGCGTGAGCGAAGTTTAGAAAACCTGGGGAAACGATATGCTCCGGCTGAACACGCCTCCCTTGGGGAGCGTAGCCGTATTAGGTCCGACAAGAACCCACGGCATATTCCAAGCCGAATATCGAGGTGTTCAGTTAGGCCTCACGATGGCTCTGAGAACAGCATCAATACACACAAGAAGAATTACAATCCTACTCGACAACCAAGGGGTCATCAAAGACCTCCGTTCAAACAAGCTCCCTCTCACTTCTCTCGATGACAGAAAGGAAACTTACAAGCTGATGGATTACATCCACCAGGCCTTCCTGAATCTTCGCATCACAAGAAGGTGGTGCCCAGGACACTCAGGTGTCCTAGGTAATGAAACCGTCGACAAGATAGCCAATAAACTGGCTAAGTAGAAACTACCGAACACCTTTAAAATCAAACTCACAGCATCCAGCTTCATCACCGCCATCAAGGAATGGAGGACAACAAACTCAACCATCACCTAACTTAACTAAGTCCCCTCAGTGCCCGGGGGAAAAAAACACAACAAACCCCGGAGGCACGGAGGGGACTTATATGGAATACTGGTTTGCCTGGTGACAGAGGAAATCACCTTTTGGTGGTAGAAAAGGGTCCTCAAAGAAATGATTTTTATACAATAATTATGAAATTCCTTGTTCCTCGGGGTTTGTTGCAAACTTAACAAAGTCCCTCGCCAAAGGCCCGAGCCCCAGCGAGGGATGTCCAGTACCCGGACGAGGCACGAGGGAGGTTGCGCCAGTCCATGGTAGTACTAGGCCAGCGTAACAATCGGGCAGAGGTCTAACTGCGAGACACGGGACCACGTGCTACGTGTCATGCGTGGGTTGATTAGCGGATGAAACCAACCTGGTGACAGACCGCGTAATCAGGGCAGAGCAGTTAAGACCTGGAATCTCAAGATGATATATCAAGGTATCAAAGAAGACCCCTCTCGACTTCACCTTGATCTCTCTTTAGATTCCCGTATCCTGCGTAAGAATACTAGACCCGATTCCTCCTCTCCTCTCTAGCTCGTTCCCCTCACATTTTTTTGTTATAGTGTGTGTCAATCGATATATCGTACATCAGAAACTCATCGTTCATCAAATTCTTATCGATATATCGTACATCAGAAACTCATCGTTCATCAAATTCTTCTAAAAATTATAAATCATCATGACTGAACGTACATCAAGGAAGAAGACCGCGAGTGGAGAGAAAGACGCTGATAATAACTCGATAACTAACATGTTAACAACTAGTACTCAAGGAGATTCTAATAAAAACTCTGGTACAAATCAAGGCAATCAAGGGAACGTTAAGAATTCAATCCCAGGAAACCAAAGAGACTCGGATGCATCCAAGAGTCTTGGTTCAAGTTTAATGCAAGACCAAGGCAATTCAGAATTATCTGCAATTTCCGGTCAAAATCAAGCTGATAAGAGTCAAGAAATCGATAACGATAATACTATCAATCGAGATCAAGTACAAAGTAAGTAAAACTTATAAATATATAAGAACTTTGAGTTGAACTAATATAAAAGGAATTCATTCTATGTATGTAGAAGAAAACGAAAAAGAGAAGAATAAAAATCCAATCATAATAACAAGAGATTTAACAGAAGATCAGGAGTCAAGTACCTCAAACGAAATAGTTAATGCAGAGTTATTAGACGTGAACGCAGCATTTAAACAAGTGCCGGTTGCAAAAAGTAAGCTTTTGAATATCGCGATCACAATTGAAAGAAGTATCTAATGAAAACATAAATTTCCAATTTCTGTAAGACACACCAAAGAAAGTGAAATCGAAATTGATTATGGTGGAAAGAAGTAATAGTGAAAATCAATTGATAAATTCGACTTATTTAAATGCGTTAAGAAGTATGCCTCTAAATATACAAAGTAAGCAAAGTGTGTTGAAGTGTGTTGAACGAACAGAATATTCAATATACTAATACATGGTTTTCGTACGATGAATAGATGATTCGGTTATATTAGAAGCGAATGAAGAATTCGACAATGATGTAGATTTGACAGATAAGAATTCAGTGTTTAAGAAAGCTATGGAGCTGACTATGAAAGGAGATAGTCAAAGCGCAACAAAGTATTTAAAAGTGTATGAAACTTTAGGACATCTGGATATAGATCATCAAAGACCTTCAGCGAAGAGAGCATCATCAGCAAATCCAATCTTAGTCGAGAATCAAACCGAACCTAGAGCTGATGGTGGAATTTTCGAAAATGGTATGTGGTTCTTCCCGAATAGAACAACAAACTATCAAAATAGGAGCTACACACCATATTTTGATAGAAACATCAAGGAGTTAAGATATCCAATTCCGTTAACAATTTTTGATAAGGACTGGCAGAACAAGGCCATGGGTTATCATGCAAAGAAGAAAATCAAATCAATTGAAGGAGAATTGAAAAGTGAAGCTTATACAGGTTTACCTTATGCAGATGAGTGGTTGTTAGACTATGGAGATTGGAGTATACATTATAATGGATACATCACCGCCCTTAGAAATGCTAAGTTCACCAGATTCGTCGATTGGTCTTTGGCTCATAAATCGAACGTAGAGAAAGTTATGTCAGAGATGGGTTGGTTAACAGCTTTGAAGTATGACATGCGAGTCAGAGAAGAAGCTCTAGTTAATAGAACTGAAATTGAGGGCTATGTAGCGCCTCCGAACATATCGGTATTTAATCAGGTGCTAGCAGAAGAATGCTATCAAGCCACTAGGAGCAGAAGTATGTGTTTTTTTTAGTGAAATATGAATGATTTCGATGCTGAACTGAAATTTGTTTGTTTGATCATTAAATTCGATTAGATGAGACCTTATTTACGAAAAATCCATATGTAGAAGGAGGTGAAAGGTACGGGTGGGACCCTGCTACTGGAAAACCGCCAAAGAAAGTCGATAAGAACAATCAAAGTCAAGCTAAAACGTATCAGAAATGGAATAACAACCAATCAGCTGGAGGAAGCGGTTTGGAAGCATCAACTTCTACAAGTTATAGACCATTTGAAAAGAAGAAATTTCAGAAAGGTTATTTAGGAAATAATTACGACGAGAATTATAAGGAGAAGAAAGCTGCAGCAGCAGCTAAGGGTAAACAACCTGAGAAGTAGGTTTCACCTCAATTGTTTTTTTCTAAGTTCAGATCTTAGTTGTTTCTTCTACATTTGTAAAATTCCTTTTCTGTAAAGACATAGATGTGCGGTATGAAATAAGTAATTGATAAACAATGTCATTGATCTATTTCAAGTGAAATAGAATTTGGTTTCATTCAGAGACAGTATGAAGACCATACTCGATCTACCCGATTGACTTTGGAGCTGCCTGATAATTGGCCAAAAGGGATTCAATGCGAGATGAATGTGCCAGAATGGAGGAAAGCGTTGCAAAAACACAAGATGTTACCTGAATACGAAGACATCTTAGAAGGGTTTATGATGGGATTCGACCAAGGAATCCCAGAGCATAGATTACCCGCGCCAAATGAAAAAATTTTTACTCCTGAAAATCACACGTCGTCGAAATTGGCATCAGAAAAGATAGAAAAGTCTATGAAGAAAGAAGTAGCAGCAAGAAGAATGTATGGCCCCTTTTCACATTCAGAAATTGCAAAAGTTTTCGAATTTTTTAGGTCAAGTCCTCTGGGCGCTGTGATAAATGGCGACGGTTCTTTGAGGCCAATTAACAACCTATCATATCCTAGAAACGATCCAAGAATACCTTCTGTAAATTCTTTTGTAGATGCTAATGATTTTAAAACTACGTGGGATGATTTTAATGTAGTAGCGTCGTTCTTCAAAACCTCGAAAGCACCTTGGCTACTAGGAGTTTTTGATTGGGAAAAAGCTTATCGGCAAATCCCAACCAAGATGGAGCAATGGAAGTATCTGATGGTACGAGATTTTAACGGAAACTTAATGCTCGATACGAGGATAGCTTTTGGTGGTGTGGCGGGCTGTGGATCATTCGGAAGACCAGCCGATGCATGGAAGAATATTATGATGAGAGAATTTGATCTCATAACGGTTTTTAGATGGGTTGATGACAATTTGTTCATCAAACGTTCAGGTTCAACTATAGAAATGAAGGAAATTGCTGAAAGATCTCAAGATTTAGGCGTAACGACAAATATGGAAAAATTGTCAAATTTCGGTCATGAACAAAAGTTCATCGGTTTTATTTGGAATGGAATGAACAAGACAGTCCGCTTACCAGATCATAAATTATTACAACGAAAAGAACAAGTGATGGAATATCTAGAGCCAAATGTGGATATAACTTACGACAAATTAGAAATATTTATCGGAAGATTAAATCATGTCACTTATATATTGCCACAACTTAGATGTTATTTAAATAGCCTTCACCAAATGAAGAAAGATTGGGTGAATGTTTTTGCGACAAGGAAATTGGCATCTGACGCGGTAGAAGACCTCGAATTCTGGCTAGAGACATTAAATAGTTTCAAGAATATGCGTTTGATAGCCTCAAGTGAACCCAAAGAAATCGGTTGGGTGGGCGACGCCTCGACTTCTTTTGGGATAGGTGTTTTAGTAGGGAAGAAGTGGTGTCAATTTGAGATGAAAGAAGGTTGGGAGTCTTCAGGACATTCAAAACGCAACATAGCTTGGCTTGAGACCATAGCAATTCGATTAGGTTTCTTAATGCTATTGCGAATGAACGTCCTAAGAGGTCAGAATCTGATCGTGTGGACAGACAACACGACATCAGAAGGCGTGATAAGAAACAAGAAATCTCGTGATAGAGAGGTTAACGATGAATGGAAAGTAATTCAGAAACTTTCTATACTCCATGATATGAATCTACACCCGAAGAGAGTGACTACTGACGATAACATCGAAGATGGCCTGTCACGAGGGATTGTGTTAGGCCACGAAGATGAAGACCGTATTTTTTTGGAAATTCCATGTGATCTAATAGGTGTTTTAGTTAACGCTACCGTTAAGAGATCCAACGAGGTCGTGCAAGAATAAGCAAATTCACCGTTCGAGAACAGAACTTGTTTTCCCAATTTATACTTGTGAATTCATAGTCATGTCTAGTTTAAGTTATCCCTCGTTGTTGATGATATAATTCAGAGTCATGTCTAGTTTAAGTTTTCCCTTGCTTTTGATAATGGATGAATCCATACTTGAAAGACTAGTGGAGGTTGACTTGGCTATAAAGGCGGATGTCCCTGAGGGGGTCCTACCCAAACGTCAGTTTGGGCAAAATTGTGCCTGTGCCCAACCCAGTACAACACAGTAGAGTTTCGCGACGACACTTTCAAATCTTTGTCACCAAACACTAACATCCTTCCTCCAACTTCATAAATCGATACATCATAATACTATTGATTTTGACTTGGTGAAGGTAATCGTACCAATGAAGTTTGCTACAAAATTCTTGGCTAATATAAATGTTTTGTTCGAATTTTATCGCTTCTTTGTAAAGCGGTTGCAGACATGTCGCATCTGAGGCATCTGACAGAATTCCTATCGGGGAACGGTACGAATGAACTTTTGGAAATCGACTTGCATATGTTGAACGGATGGCGTTTCAACACTTTAACTAGCTACAACAGCGCCGTGAAGAAGTTTCGCCATTACCTTCAATCTGAAGGAATCAACGATTTTGTCCTACCAGCCAGTCCAAAGGACATCTACGGTTTTTGCTTTTGGGCTGGACGAAATGAATTCGGTAGTAACGGATACGAGGTCATGTCGGTAACTCTGAAGAAGTACCTCTTCGGTCTTGAAGCGTGGCACTTGTTCCACAACCAACCCTACCCTCACGTCGTGAAAGAACGTGTCACCGTCATGCTCAGGGCTTCGGCACAGGCAGACGCACTACTACCTACCCGACCTCCGAAGCCTGCTGTAATGATCAAACATATGCTCGCACTATTCCACGATTTGGATCGAGATGATCCTAAAGAGGCGGCCATACTCGATTGTGCAATTTGCGCCTTTTGGGGATTGGCCAGATTGGCGGAGCTGACATACGACGTCAGTTATGGCGATACAGCTTGGATAAACTCCGTCTGGGGCAGTGACGTGGCTCGAACTACTGGCACTTCGAGGTCCTTTACCCTCCGAGTACGCAGTGCGAAAACTGCGAAGGCGAGAATGGCCCAGTCTATCCTCTTAAATAGTCAACCTAACCCTCTGTGTCCAGTAAGGGCCGTCCTAAGACGATTGGCTACCACATCCACCGGGACAGACTCGTTATTCGGCTGGACGGCATCAAATGGTCTCCGTCGCAACCTCACGCGTACAATGGTCGCTACTAGGTGTGTGCGAGTCTGGGAGTCACATGGCTGGTTTGGCATCTCGGGTCATTCCTTTCGTGTTGGAGGAGCTTCTCTACGAGCTGCTCTAGGTATATCTCACGTCGACATTATGACTTTAGGTCGTTGGACTTCACAATGTTACCGCCTGTATATTCGCAAACATGGGGCACAAGACCTGGAAGAGACTTTGGCGTTGTTGAACGCAATAAACGGGGGAAGCACGTAGGCGATAGGTCCTCGGATTTGCACAAGGTTGGGGTTTCGCATCGGCTCAGGCTCGTTGAACCCGAGTTTTGGGTGTATCACTAACCCCGTCCTTGTGCGTTTTCCTAGGCTTAGGCGCTTGCTCAGCGTGTCAGAATGGCCTCGCGTTCCTCGTTACGACACTCTCTCGACGACTGCTGGTACCAAAGGGCCAGTCCCTCAGCTGGTACCCGTCGAGACGTCGCGAAGAGGAACCTGAGACCATCTCTCCCCCACACCCCATACCTATGGTATGGCGAACATGCTTGTCATCTGAAATACATGAATGCTAAACTAGCAATGAATTACAGTAGTTCCAGAAGGGCGCCACCGGCGCCCACAACTTATATACATGTGAGGAATTAAGCTAGAGTAGCGGCACCGTCACGAATGGATGTCCAGTACCCGGACGAGGCACGAGGGAGGTTGCGCCAGTCCATGGTAGTACTAGGCCAGCGTAACAATCGGGCAGAGGTCTAACTGCGAGACACGGGACCACGTGCTACGTGTCATGCGTGGGTTGATTAGCGGATGCACCATGTAAATATCTGTGTAGCACGTCGACGTGCACACACGGAGAGTTTTGAAATAAATCTCAAAGTCTTTTGGTTGAAATGAGACTGAGATTACTGTTGAGCACCCTTTGTGCTTTGTGATTTGTTCAAAGGATTTTCATAATCCTTTGTTGTCAGCAGGGGTCAACTGCCTTTCAACCTCCCAGGTGATAAGGGGAAGATGCGCTTGATGTTGTACCATTCAATATGCTTTACTACAATCTTAACTTTTATGGCCTTATGCAAAGTCTTGACAAAACCATTGTATTCAAATGGTCGAGATCTAGAGACCGAATTAAAACTAGGATTCGGAACATCAAACCCTGGGAGTCGGACCATCGCAAAGCCCAGATCGAAACTTGAAAAAACCGATCCATTGGAATTGACACTTGGACCATCATCTGAACTCACAACCGTATCATCAGAAACACATAAATCCTCTGGCGCATTAGGAATCCAAAACCCAGATCTGTTCAAAGTCTCAACTCGAGAAAAAGAATCTTTCAGTACCACACCAGATTTCAAAATGTGGCTGAATGATCAAGTTGTAGAACTTCCAAAGCCAATGTCGCCTCCACATGAAACTCATCACAATGACATTCCATATAACAGTTTAATGTTTGAAGCTATATCATCTACTCTCCCACCACATCAACTTCAGGCCCCTGGTTCACGAAATACTCATATTGATGAAGTTCCAACTCATAGCTCACCAAGATTTCATGGTTCAGGATCCAATCTAGTTCAAGGTTTTCCAACACGTGACTCATCTGTGCAGGCATTGGCAAATATCGCGGAAGATCAACATCGCTCGATCATTGGCGCTCCTGCTTTCAAGAGTCATCCCAGACCAAAGTCAAGGGCTCAAACAGCGACGAAATTTCCAGGGAGATATAGGGGTCGATCAGGAACAACCAAAGGAAAACACGCGTCTGGACTTAACCCCGTTACTCATGTATTGTACATCCCACAACGTGGCGAAATGTACGATTTGGCAGACATTGCGAAAAAGGAAATGCAGAAACACGATGCATTACGGAAAGAGATTGGAGGGTGGTTTGCTGAGTTGGAAACTAGAATGATACAGAGAATCCAAGGAGAAAACAAAATTAAGCATATACATAACGCACTTCGTCGCGCCCGAAAGAAACTGACACACATCTTTTTTGGATTCCTGATCACAAATCATAACCTTGGACCCCAAAAAGACGGCATCAGTCTGACCCACCTGAGTGAGGGGTGGGACTACTTGAAGAGCTACATGGTTCAATGGCAAGATGTGAACCTTGAAGCCGTTTTCAACCTCAAAGGTCTTCAAACAGTTCAGGTCTCGAGATGGACGCCAGAGAGGATGCTGGCGTATTTCATGTGGATGGATGCAAAGAACACCTTCTTATCCAAGGTCTTATTGAGGTTTATTTCGGGCTGGGACAAGTCCAAAGCATCATGATTTTGTTCTTCGATAGAAAAGTTCACTCACTTGAGAATATCCAAAGTAATTTGTTTTTTGTTTCTTCAACTTCAAGTTCCTTGTATGAGCTTGTTAACTGAGGGACCCTTTATTTGGTAACAGGTCCTTCACTTTATGCAGTAATTCCGAAATTCCAGAGAGTCTTCCAAGATTCACATGGTCTAGGATCTTTGGAAGGTTAGGAAATGTTCTCATGGTGACGCGATCTCAAACAAAGAGATACCTTTGAGACAAATGGGATCTCAAAGGCAGCTTGCAAAGTTTTTTATATCAATAAGGTTCAATTGAACAAACAGTACAAGTTTGAGGTATTAAAACTATAATCTTTCATAATATGATGTTCAAACATTGCAGTATGTGGCAGACCAATGTGCAAGATATGTGCAAGATCTGTGTCAGATTTCTTGCACCAATCTTGCACATTAGTTGTTTTAACAACCCCAGTTATTGTGGTCCAACTGGTAAAGAACCCATGTAAGACTGACATGCAAGGTCTGTGCAAGATCCGTGCAAGTTCTATTCATATCTTGCACAGAATAATTTTGAAGTATGAATGCCATAAATGTACAAACATTCTGATAATAGATTCAATTTGGTACACCATGGATAGATTTTGTGTTGGAAATTGACCAGAGGAATGTCATGGTCTGAGACTTGTTGGGTATTCATCCTCAGGCCATGGATAGGTGGACCACAGAAAACCCATGTGTGACATGTCAGGTTTTTACAACTTTCTATAAAACTTTCTGTAACTTTCTCATTTTGTTAAGTAACGATCTATGCCACCCTAAGCAGATCCATTGTGATTGTTCTTAAATTTGACTAGCCAGCTTAGTGGCAGGTGCCGCACTATATTTGCTATCTTAAGCTCAGCCCACATGTCCTCTCAATCTTATGTTGATATGCTTTCCTTCTTGTTTCACCTCTCATCAAATGAACTTCTTACAGCAGTCTGCCAAGACACTGTTTCTTTGAAGTGCTTCAGGTTTAATTGCTCTTTAACCAATTGAGCACAAAATGAACTTGCGGATAAACACTGTTGCAACATGTCTATTACCAAGACAAAAGTTTACTTATGAATCAAATCTGAAGCAGGTAATGCCTGCTGCAAAACAATCTTAAATAAAGTCTTCTATCCCTTGGTTAATTGGCTGATTCATGTACAAGCAGAATTCACCAGTCAAAACCACACCACATCCCAAACTCACTATGGCAAGTTGACAGGCTGAGACAGGGTGACAGGTTGAAACAGGACAGGTAGACCAAAAAAAACAAGAAGTGTTGTGACAAGGGTTTTGGATAAAGTTTGAATTGAATTGAATTCTGATGGTGTTCTCTCTTTGCCGTTGGATTTGGTATTTTTGAATAGTTATGGATTCAAAGAATTGGTATAGTTCAAAAGAGTGTAAGGTCAATGAATATTGACCTTCACTTAAGCTCAGACTCACAATGCCAAAGCCAGACGGAACTAACACCTAGATATACTTCCTAACAAATGTATATCCTGAGTCTATCAAACTAGAGCGTCTATAACAGAGAGAAGGAGGGAAAGAGAAATCTTCAAAAAGAATAAGAAAAGAAAAAGAAAAGAAACAAAATCCAAAGAAGTATATAGCTAATCTACTAATCCATCTGTAATCCCATATGTAAAGTCAACCTGTGGTCTAAATCCATTATTCTTCCTTACAACCCTGTCCATCAGGTGATTGATTTTAGTACCTTGACCCTTTGTGATTAGAAAAGTTATCAATAAAAATATTTATCAAGTGAAATAAAATGAGATTCTCAAATTGGAAGCATACCGAGTGATCAAAAAAAAGATTTAGCCAATAATTTTGAATCTCAAGATGAAAATATTTGGCTAAATAGTGTCCTTCTTGGCCACTTGTCAGAATGAGAAGTGAATGCTTGAACACTTTTGCCATTTTTCTGGGCAGGTATTTCTCAAGCATCAAGATAAATCACAGGTGTAATGTGACAGTCCCATTGCTTGAGCCATCACCACCCATCTTTTCCACATTAACATCACTTGGCCATTGTCTCCTGCTCTCATTGCTTTGTTGCCCTCCACAATTGAAGCAAAGTTGCAAAGTTGAAGGCACATGTTGTGCATTGTCCAATCCCCGGTCTTTGAGGATTTGCCCAAAGGTTCACAAGTAAAATACTTTTTGTAGCATTTGTCAATAACTGATTGAGCCACACCAGGCTTTTCAAAGTTCAGCTCATGTGGCCAAGATTCAATGATTTGTCTGAATTTCAAATGGAGAAAGTCAGATCTCACTACAAGAGTGTTTTTGCTGAAAGCAGAAGGTGACTTACTTCAACAAAAATACCATTGTGGCTGTGTGACCTTTGTGAATTACTTGCATCAATGAGTTAAAATCTTGCTGTGACAGTAGCTTATTGGTTTTCACTCCAAGTGCTTCAGATTTCCAATGCAGCCCAGTGTCTGATGAATCATTTGGATCACCCCAGTGATGACTGAGGACCTTTCTTGACACATTCCACATTGTGTGTGCTAAGCCTGGGAGGTTCAGAATGCTTTCAAGAGACTTGTCCTTATGACCCACAGGAAAACATTATCTGATAAGGGATTCAAAATTGAGACAAGCTCCCATATTTTCCTCTATCACTTGGAGAAACTTGTGGAACTTTGCTGAATCCTCACCGGTCTTGTTATTGCAATGTGTAAGAATTTAAGAAACCCCTGAGGCAGAACTGTCACTTGCACTCATCATCTTCAACATCATGATCCTTGGTTTGTATATTTTTATAGGGTCAATTGCAGACATTGCTATAGACTATCTGGAGCACTTTTAGCCTGGTGTGGCTTTCTTGACTACATAATCCAGGTGAGTTTCAGTGAGCTGAGACTTTAGCACCAGTGTCCAATGATTTCTTTCCTCTTTGTTTGTAAGAATTGACCAGATTTGAAAGAAATGGTTGCTTTTGACTGTTGCGGATACATATGATAAGATTCTCAACCCTGAGTTTGGCTATGTCAATTTCTTTGACTAGATGGTCAGGGAGGAAATGAAGATACCCATACAATTGGTGAAGCAAATCGGTGGTTGCTTTGGTGCAAGGATTGTGCATGTGAGCTTGGATATCAATGCTGCCAAGTACCAAGAACTGTCTGACTGTGTGACTTTGAGAATGCGGCTCCAATGATTGCCTTTTCACCAGCCAGGCCAAAATTATAGCTGAAAGTGCTGTTTCTTGTGAGGATGTCAATCCCAGGAAGTGTAGATAGTCATTGACCCAGTAAGAGACACCACATGCAACAAATGATGGAGAGTTTTGTAATCAAAGCCTGTTGAATCATTTGCAAGTAAAACCAATCATGGATAAAATTACAACTGGGATCTTGTTTGCAGATATTGTTTATGTTGGAGTATTTATCCTCTGGCAATGTTTCAAAACCATTGAGGTAGAGAGTAGTCAATTGAAAATATTCAATTTTAAAACATCAAGATAGAAGGCACTCAACTGTCATTGACAAATCCGGTCATTTGGAATGTGTTACATACAGTGGAGGCTTATAAAGTAGGACTTTGTTGTAAAAAGATCTCTGCATTAGGATTGATTAGGAGTAGTTTGTTTAAATTTTTCTGTTTTATGTTGAGATTGTGAAAATTTGTGTACTGTGTGTTTTTCTTATTAACCCCTCACCTTTCACTTCTGAATCTTTTTCCCCATCAGTGAAATTTATTTTGAAGGTGAGATTAACACACACATTCTCATTATCAATCTTCTATTATCTCAAGGTGTGCTCCGGCCGATATCCGGCAAGCTCAAGCAATTCCGACAACTGAACCGCCGGATTATCCGGCCACCGGATGATGTCAAAGGCCTTTCCGGTATCCGGATCCGTTGGATGATCCAGCCAAAAAACCGGGTCCGGGTCCCTGACAACACGTGTAAGCTGCGGTATCCGGCGTGTTCAGGCCATTCCAACAACCGAACCGCCGGATTATCCAGTCACCAGATGGTTTCAAAATCCTTTCCGACATCCGGATCTGACGGATGCTCCAACGGATATCCGTCGGATCTTTGGTTCCGGAGCACACCTTGACTATTATCCTCAACCCAACTGAACCATTACTTTGACATGTCATATTCTTTCAGATGGCTCTTTTTCTCTCTCTCATCTCTTTTACATTATAGTTCTTTTTATCACTTTACCCCTCCCCCATTCCTTCCTTCAGGTTTGGCAGGGTTCAGTACTCTAGTTTTATTTGTCAGCCCGTTGCCTCATCAGTACAGAGCTAGGATTGCCGGTCTACCTTTATAAATGTTTCTTTCCATCACACAGTGTTGAGCATATCAAATCTTATTTTTTTACAGTTAAAACAGTCAGTTACAAAGAATGACCAAGGTCAAGATATCATTGAGTAACATAGTTGCATACTTGCTTGAGTCATTGGGAATCCAATTTGCTTGAAGTCAATTCCTCAGAATGTGAGATTCTCTTGAGACTCTCTGAAAATTCAGCCAACACATCTGTCTCAGTCTGTTAGACCCTATTTCCCTTGATGAAGTTCACAATTTTCTTTGTTTGGACCTTTTCATCAGCTATGTTTGGATCTTCAATCTTTGAGTAAATCGGTGCATAAAGGAAAGGCATGCTATTGCAAATGAGTCTGGCTCTGTTTTCCTGGGCTTGCATTTCCAAGAATGTTTTGTGCATGTGCTTAGAGCTGTAGAAAACTCCCATTGGAGCTCCACCTTGCCATAACTCTTCACATATAACAATGGTCTTGGTCTGCATAATTTATCATCGAGTTAGTACTGAACAATAAAATGAGATATGATTTGAAACATTGAACACTAAATCACCTGGCTCAGGATAAACTCCTCCTGTTGTTCTGAACCATCAGGGCTCAGATCCTTGATACTGATTATAATCTTCTTGGTTGCATTCCACTCAGTCAATGTTCCCCAAAATTGATGAATCTTAACAAGGGCAGGTTTTTCAGATTTGAGAAGGCTTTGCACAGACATTTTTGGATCCAAATGGAGACCATGTATGTAATAACATATCTTAATAGTACGGTGTAACTCTGAGGGTGTCTTGGTCATGTTGCTAACTGGATCTATACTGTTTAATGTGTTTGTAAAGGACTTATTTGGAGAGGTTGAACAATTCAAAATGATATGAATGGGTTTTTTGCTCTTTTGA